TTTTTGGTTATAGCAAATGAAGTCAAACTGGTTATAGTTAATTTAGTTTGCTTTTTCCATTTTGTAAGGTGTGCTGCTAGAGAAGGCTGATGAGATAGACGCTCAGCAGGTAAAGTCTCTTTTTGATCCACAGAACCCACATAGTGCAAAGAGAGAACTCAGATCCCTGGAGGTGTCTTTGATCTCCACATGCGCACTATAGCTTCTGTGTACCCTCACATAAGCATACATGCATATATACAAACAGAAACACTAAATGTAATGAAAATCTTAAAATACCTTTAAAAATATGCTACTAGAAAGGTCAAAATTACCTGTGTGCTCATAGATTTATGAATTGTGCTATACTTACACAGGGCATAACTGTTCTAGGGTGTGTGGGACAAGAGGAAGGCCACAGTTGCCATCCAAGTAGTACATACATAGTTCATGATCACGTATGAGATTCCTTGGGAAATCAGCCATAAGCTATGTTCACAAATTTGGTTCTGAAGGTAGACAGCGACTGCTAAGGATCATTTAACTTAAATTTTAATTCTATTTCCGTCTTCTGACACCTCCAGTCTTACATAGTTTAATATGACAGATGTATTTGCCTTATCTGTATAAACAGATGTTCAGACTGAAGGACAAAAGGGCGGAAAAACAAAACAAAACAAACAAAAAACAACAAATAATGGTCCTCGAAGACAGGATATAACTTGAGAACACTGAACAATTTAGAGAGATAGTGTAGTTTACTGACCAGGGGACTGAACAATTAACAATGCTTGATCAGTATCACTGCTTGGGACTATCACATCAGTTGGTCTGTGAAGTAATGGAGGAAAAGAGAGACATATTTGAAGTTGTTTCTGTAGGTGCTGTGTGGGATTAATCACTGGGCCCAGAAAATGCGCAAACAAAAGAAGTGTGCTTGCTTTTATGGAAACTGATAGATACACGAGCACCCAAAAAGTAGGATTCTGAATTATAATGCCTTTGGGATCCAGCTAGGTAATTGAAATGAGAGAGAGGGTCTTAACACCAAGAAAGATTAAATTTCCCATTTTTACAAAGTAGCCAGAATTCTATATTCTATTAGAGGTGCTTTGTGCTGTTTGGATGCAGTGTCTTTTCTTCCTTCCTTCCTTCCTTCCTTCCTTCCTTCCTTCCTTCCTTCCTTCCTTCCTTCCTTCCTTCCTTCCTTCCTTCCTTCCTCTCTCTCTCTCTTTCTTTCTTTCTCTTTTTCTGTCTGTCTGCCTGTCTGTTTGCCTGCCTGCCTCCCTCCCTCCCTCCCTCCTTCTCTCCTTCCCTCCCTCCCTCCTTCTTTCCCTCCCTCTCTCCTTCTTTCCCTCCCTCCCTCCTTCTCTCCTTCCCTTCCTCCCTCCCTCCTTCCTTTCCTCCCTCCCTCCCTTCCTTTCTTTGTATTTTATTTTTAGAAGTATACTGTTTCTCATGGGCTTGAGCAAAGCATGACACATCAAGTTGAGACAGGACTGAACTCCTCCCCTTGTGTCAAGGCTGGGCAAGGTAATCAATCCAGCATGGGGAACAGATTCCCAAAATTTAGGTAAATGCCAGGGACATGCCCTGATCTCACTGCTAGGAGCCTTACAAACAGACAAAGCTACACAACTGTCACAAACATGCAGAGGGCCTAGAGACTCCCTAACTGTTGGTTCAGAGTTCATGAGCTCCCATGAGCCCAGGTCAGCCCAGGTCTCTGTGAGTTCCTGGTCATGACCCCTCTGGTTTGCACAATCTCTCCTCCCTATCTTCATCAAGACTCTTGGAGCTGGGTTCAGTGCTTGGCTGTGGATCTCTGCATCTGCTTCCATCAGCTACTGGATAAAGGCTGGCTGATAACAATTAGGATAGTCACCTACCTGATTATAGTAGATGACCAGTTCAGATATCCTCTCCACTATTACTAGGTGTCTTTTCTGGGGTCATCCTTATGGATTCCTGGGAGTTTCTCTGGTGCTAGATTTCTCCCTAACCTCCCAATGCCTCTCCCCACCCCTACATCAAGATGTCTCTTTTCTTACTCTCCCCTCTGTCCTGCCTCGAACCTACCTTGCACCCAGCCCACCCAACCCACTGTCTTAAAGACAATTCTGACTTTTCAACGCTGGCAGATAATGTTTTTATGTGAATTGCACTGGGATATGAACCAAATGTTGATAGTCCTATTGCCTTTGCACTTTCCTTTATTTATTTTCATAAGAAAATGTCCATACTGAGAGGACATTCAAATACCATTTACAGAGGCATACTACTGTAGGTCAGACATTTATCAACTGTAGCCCAATGTAAAGCAGTTGCTGTGACGGTGGTCTGAATATCTCTCCCTGGTCACAGGGTTAGTTGGCTTTGCTTTGTGGATTCCATTCCACAGATGTTCAAGGTATCTAAAATCCGTCTAGAATTTCAGTGAATGAAAAGGTAGTATGCTCCCCCAAGTAATAGCGTGTCATTCTGATATCTGCTGGACCTTTCCATCCCCTTTTCCTCCCCCCACTAGTTCCTTCAGGAACATAATGAGTATTTACATCTTTATAATAACCGTGTCTCTTTCTGTGAACTGTTATACCAGTAATTCAAGTCTATGATCAGTCTTATCTTACCCTGGAGATTAGTTAACTGAACACTAAGCAAGAAAGTAACTAGCTGGCTAGGTAACTAGGTAACTACTCCTTTTTTTTTTGTCCAGAAAGACTGGTAGTCAGATCTAGGACAGAGGTTAAATTTACCCCTTCTGAGAGAAGGGTCATAGCATCTACCCGTTATTACATGTGTAACAACTTCAGCCAATCCCAACTTCTACTTCATAGATTTATATGTTCTACAAATGATAGTTCCAATTTGAAATGAAATATGCAAATTTAGAACTCTTTAGTTACCATCTTCTCAACCTAGAAGGAACATGGGTGCCCTACTTAATGTGTGGATGCCTTACGGAAATGTTAATGCTCTAGAAGTTACTTTTATCTGTTTGAGGTCAACATTCTGCTTCCCACTAAATGTACCTTAAGACATATGTTAAAGCAATCTTTCCCCAACAGGAATATCTGTCCAACTGGAAGACACAAAGGGATGCTCTGGACAGACTGATCTATGTCAGGTCAACTCAAGATACTAAAGGAAGTTGGTTACAGTGGGCAAGAATATGGTTAAAGATGTGAACAAAAGTGGGCAGAAAGGTTGGTCATATCTTGTTCAAGTGAAACCACAGTGTTTGTGATAACCCACCAAGAACCTTGTTGGAAAACCTAAAGTCAAACCTCTGTGTGGAGGGGTCCTTTTTTCCCATACAAAAAATGAGAATGATGTTTAGATGAGTTATTTAGCTGATGTAGTAAGCTGAAGGTTTGATTGTGGACATCTGTATTTTGTTTCGGTTGGAGTGTGGGGAATGTGTATATACATTTGTGTGTGTGTGCATATGCAGGTGGGTATTTTTGTATGCTCACACATGGGAAGGGCAGTGGTTAGCACTTAGGGTCTTTATCTTCCATTCTCCAGTCTATACTTTTGATACAGAGTCTTCCAATGAACCTGAAACTCATTGATGGGACTAACTTGACTAACCAGTAAGGATCCACCTATCTTCACAACCCCCTCATCCCCAACACAGCCCAGGGGTGGGATTCCAGATACCACACTCCACTTTTACATAGGTTCCAGGAATCCCAACTCAGGTCCTTGTGCTTTGCATAGCATGCAATTTACTGACTGAACCATATATTCAGACCCTGGATATTTATATTTCTGTTCTCCATAGAAAGTGTGCTGTAAAGACAGGTAGCGGTGGTGCAATGCCTTTAATTCCAGCACTTGGGAGGCAGAGGCAGGTAGATTTCTGTGAGTTCAAGGACAGCCTGGTATATAAAGCAGTTCCAGGATAGACTCAAAAGCTACACAGAGAAACCCTGTCTCGAAAAACAAAACAAAACAAAACAAAACAGTGTGTTATAAAAATACAATAATGGAAACAGACTGAGGACATATTGTGACATTCGAACCCAAGATTTGACTGCAGGAAAAGCTGTACATAGGTTCAGGGAACTAGGGAACTACTATAAATTCAGGAAAGGCAGAAGCTAGAACTTGTCTGGTTGTAGGAGGCAGAGAACTGCCTTACTGATAATGGAATTCAAGAAGCCTTATTTTACTACTGCAGATCTTGACATACTTTCCTCATCTGGAAACTTACCAAAAAAGGTCATCTGATATGAATTTGGAAATAGCTACAAGTCAGAATTTCATATTAGAGTATTTTTTTCAAGTTACTAGAGATAATAACCCTTGACAACAAGTGATGACTGGTGGGCGAGGGAGAAGATAAAACTCCCTGTGTTCTTTACCAACTCTCAGACCAAAAGCTTTGTTTGCATTTTCTTTTCTCTAAGGTCACATGAAACCCAGAATAACGTGGTCTTATGAATTATTGGGAATTTCCCATTGACTAGATCATCTGGAATTAAAAAGGCTGTTTCAAAAGGATGGAGTTTTTCAATATATATTCATAGAATTATCATTTAATGTCCTTTTTACACTACAAATTAAATGTTGGGTGCTTCTTTGAGCTCTTTACACATATTAAATTGTTTAAACACCACAATCTTCTTGTGAGATCCAGTCTCTCAATTTTCAGATGAAGCAATTGAAGTTATTAAGCTTTGGCAATGGGACTAGACTCTGGGCAACTACAGTACATAATAGAATTTGAAAATAATCCACTACTTTAAGGGAATGTTCTAGGAGATGTAGTCTTGAAATCACTGAATATGGAGGGATGTTTGCATGTTTCCTTGGGAACTAGCAAATAAAATGAGAGTTGCTTCACTTTCATTTTTGGCAATGGGTAAAGTATTTCAGGAATTTTTGAGACTCCAATAAATTTTAGTATTTGATACTTAGGACAGACACTCCTTCCTTTGCAGGAGCGAAAAGGAACACACATGAAGAGAGACAGCAGACTGGTTTCTAAGGACATTGGAAACTATATTCCTCACCATATTTCTATTTCCAGATTGGTACTGTTGATGTCTGGGTCCTCAAAGGCACAAGTCAATGAATGCTGGTTTCCATCCACCTCCAACTGGCTGTAGCACCAGAAGGAGTAATCGTCAGGTTCTGCATCTTCTAGATCTCCTGGGGAAGAACACAACACAGCTGTTAAGGATACTAATAAATGCATCAGTTGAAAACATGATACTCCTTAATAAAATGTCCCTTGTGTGGCAGTCATGAAGGAGGGCTGGTTTACCTAAAGAAATAAATTCTAGTTTATCTAAAGAAATAAATTCCAAGGACAAAGACAATGACCAAGTTTCAAAACACACACACACACACACACACACACACACACACACACACACACACACACACACCACCACCACCACCACCACCACCACTACCCACACACACCAAAACCCCAATATGCAGGTGCAGAGTTCAGAGTGTTCTAACTGAAAATTTTTTGTCATAATTAAGGAATAAGTTCCAGGTGCATAAAAGCTGTTCTACCATTGGACTAGTGTGTTGGAAAATTAGAAGGGAGATGGAGAAACCTCTTTTCTTGCTTACCAGAATTTCTTTGCTATACTTTAAAGCTGTATTGAGAAGGTATTTATTAAGGCTATAGTTTCCACTTCAGCCACATGAGCTAACAAATGCAGGAAAGCCACCTCCTGGCAAATATAGAAGGCTCTAAATGTTGATGAAGAAATCCCCTGTGAGGTTGTAAAATGCTGAGATTATCTTCTTTTCACATTGAAGTGTTTAGACATCTCAAATAAGAATTCCTGTATTTCATTCACATATCTCCTTAGCCAACCTTAGTTTTTAGTGTTGGTCTGCATTTGTTCTCTTCCAAATATTATTTTCAAATGGAATATGATAATAAGTATTTGGGCTATAAGTTCACATTTTTATGTGATTGCTCCTTGTCCCCTAAAAGGGCATCACAACTAAGGATGATATTGATCTCTCCGTTCTCTAGAATTGAAAGAATCTTGCGTTAATGACTGACAGAGACGACTGTGACTAAAATAGTAAACCCTGAAGATGCCAACGTTTGTGCCTACGTAATTTGATTTTTTCCCCCAGGTACTGTATTCTATAGATACTAGAAAGTGAGAAATCGAACTGTGTGTCTGTGTAGGCACTTTTGGAAACTGCAATTTGTTAATGATATTATTTGATTTCCTAATCTGAGTTGTAGAGCCCATGATTAAATAGGTATTTGTGTGTGTATACATATAATAGCATATTTAATAGCAGAAAAAAACTCAGAAAAATCTTCCAGTGGATACATTCCAATAAGGACCAGGAAAACCTAGAGTAATCAAAGGTTTGTGAGAGAATGGTGGAATGTGGAGAGCCTCTGGTAGCTTCTGTGTATTCAATCTCACCCAAAACAAAGATTTTTATGCTTTTAAGGCTTTAGTATGGAAACAGAGCATACTAACAATAGGTCCCAGCCCATTTTTTGGCAGTTATATGCAGTTTTAACTGCCTTCTCTTTGTTTAATGAACCCGGAAGGTCTGTGGGAATGTTGATGAAATTGGCTACAAATAGACCAATCAGGTAAGTGACTATCCTAACCAATAAACCTAACAGCTCACCTAAGCACGGGTGGTGGGCGCAGTCGCAGGCATTTGGCTTTCTAAGCATCCCCTGAACCCGTCATGCCACAACTGGAACAGCAGCACGTTTCTTTACACTTTTTTCTGTGTAGTATACTTTCCCCATTGGCAGGGCTAAGTCATAAAGGAGCAGCCCACAGTTGAGAGAGTTCATATTTCAAAACATGTTCATTTTCTAGGCTTATATCTGCATCTCAGAGCTGTCATCTTTCAGAAAGAATGGGATGTTCTAGGTGGGTTTGCCTACTCTTACATGGCAGCTCTCAGTTCTCATACTGTCTTATATTTGCTGTTACTCACACCTTTCATCAACTCTATGATATATATATATATATATGAATTACTATTTGGTTATATATATATATACATATGAATTACTATTTGGTTATAGACATCCTGTCGGTCATCTTTATTACACAATTTCCCCATATTTGACATGAGCCAGAGAAAGCACAGATGTCAGACACCAGCTGAAGAGAGGACTTCCTCAGACTCCAACCACCCAGTCTGGCAAAGTATGTCTCAAGTTTTCTCACACAATTGCAAATAATTGATCACGCAAAATTTCTCGAAATCAAAGTAGCTATGTTTGAAGGAGCAGTTCACTAGATCTTTAACACATGTTGTCATGGGGCATAGTTGCTCTGTAATCAAAGGAACACTCCTATAAAAACTGACAAAATCACTTGCCACTGTAGGAGACTATTCCATTTGCTGTGAGCTGACGATCTCTTCCTAAGAGTAGGGTACACAGTGTTTAAGTGATGTCATTTTGGGACAGATGTGCACACGAGTCCTCACTGTCCTAACTTCATAGCTTGCTGTACCCCCTTTCTGCATACCCAAACTCCCAATGCTTACACTTTGGTGCATATATGCATTTTATTGGAGTAAGTTGTGAATAGATCCAAGGTTTATCTTAGATCACCGTATGTCCTCAGTAAGGGTGAGAGCTTTCTTAGCAGTCTTTGGGAAATCAGCACGAAAAGGTAAGGTGTGAATGATAATTATTCAAATATATATACAACATTTGAAGTTCATTTGAAAAAAATTGTATATCAACTGAAACTACTATCCTTACTGTGGTTTTGACATTACATGGAATGGTGAGTTAATGTATTAAGCATTCAATAGTAAGTATCCTTAATATTTAAGTAAATATCTAAGCATTGGATAAAAATTCTAAGTATAATAATTTAAAGTATTATACCCAAAAGACACCCATTCACACAACAAGGATGTCTGTTACACTATGTTCATTGCAGCATTATTTGTAATAGCTAGATCCTGGAAGCAACCTAGATGTCCCACAACTGAAGAGTGGATAGAGAAAATGGGGTACATTTACACAATGGAGTACTACTCAGCGGAATAAAAAGAACAATGGAATCTTGAAATTCACAGGCAAAAGGATGGCACTAGAGGAAACCATCCTGAGTGAGGTAACCCAGTCACAAAAAGACAAACATGGTATGTACTCACTCATATATGGATTTTAGACATGGATCAGGGGAGTGTCATCCTACAATCCTAGTGCCAATGAGTCTGGGAAACAGGGAGGTTCCCAAGAGAAATGCATGATACCCCAGAGAAGTGGAATGAGGCAAGATCTCCTGAGAACATTGGGAACATCAGGGGAGGGGAGAAGGAGCCAAGAAAAAGAGAGGGGGATAAGAGGACATAAGAAGAAGGTATGGGGGAGCAGGAAGGTTGAGTAGTGGTAAGAATAGAGGAGAGCAGGATGAGAGATACCATAATAGATTGAGTCATTATAGGCTTGAGAAGAGAGCTGACACTAGTGAGATCTCCAGAGATCTACAAGGATAACACCAACTGGCAAACTAAGTAATAGTGGAGAGACTACAGTAATAGCCCCTCCTTGATGGTAAGGTTGATGACTTCCTTATGTGCCATCCTAGAACCTTCATCCATTGACTGATGGAAGCAGAGACAGATACCCACAGCTAAACACTGAACTGAAATCCTGGAACCCAGTGACAGAGATGGAGGAGTGATGAGCAAAGGGGTCAAGACCATGATGGTGAAACCCACAAAGACAGCTGACCGGATAAAGGGGAGCTCTTGAATCCCAGACTGATGCCTGAGAGGCCAACAGGGTACTGATCCAGACTCCATGAGTGTAGTCTCAGTGAGGAGGCCACAGAAATCACTGGGGCCTTGGGTAGTAGATCAGTGTTTATCATGGTTTATGAATGATCTTTGGGAGCCCATTCCAAATAGAGGGATGCTCTCTCAGCCTGGACACATGGGGAAGGGCCTAGGTCCTGCCCTGAATCAAAGGACAGACTTTGGAGATCCTCCCAAGGAGGGCCTCACCCTCCCTGAGGAATGATGTGGGGATTGGGTGGGGGGTTGGGGGACTGGTGGAGGGACAAGGGAGGAGGGGTGGGAGAGGGAGCAGGGATTGACATGTGAAGCATTCATGTGTCTAATTTAAATAAAAAATTAAAAAATTTAAAGTATTTGGAATACATTGTATAAGAAAGGTAGTGTAAAATGTTTGGGTTTTTGACATTTTTTCACTTGTTTTGCTCATTCTCATGGTTATTAGAAAACCTACTTTACCCTTCAACCAATAATAGCAGATTACTTGAGAATTACTTCAAGCATGAAGTGGAAAATGCTTTTTATATTATTATGTGATTGCCTCAATGTTTTCTAATCAGATTTTTTTTTAAGTTTAAAAGGCTCAAGTGAAAATCCAGTTTTCAGCAAGGATTTTCCACTTCTTTTAGAAATAGTACTGCCAACAGGAAGAAATAGTGGTGAAGTGTTGTGCCAAACAGCAATGAAGTTCTCGTGCTTCCCGCCTGTGTTCGCACAATTTTAACATAAGACAATGACTCTCCCTCACAGAGTGACTCACGCCCAGTCACAGCAAAAAATGTCGCTCATCTGACAATTCCCTTAGTAAGAAAGTGCGAGGGTTTTCCATCCTTAGTAATTACTAGGTAAACGATCACAAATATCTTCGATTAGGAAAGCATGACTAAGGAAGACTGACTGAAAAGAACTAAGCTGAGTCATTAGACTGATGTGCATTGATGCTGTCTATAAAGAGAAAAGACATGCATTTTAGACAAGCTTTCACTCTGTAATTTAGGCTGGCTTGTAAACCCATGGTCTTCCTGTCTAGGCCTCCCATGCTCCGGGATCACTGGTGTGTGCTGCTATACCCAGTTTACAAATGGTGGTGCATGCCTTTAATCCCAGGACTCAGGAGGTAGGACAGAGTGTGGGGTGGTGGTGGTGGTGGTGGTGGTGGTGGTGGTGGTGTGTGTGTGTGTGTGTGTGTGTGTGTGTGTGTGTGTGTATGTGTGAAAACAGCCTAATTTGTAGAAACAAATTGGAGGTTCAAGTTTGATGTGGCTCCTGTGGCTTTTAGACACTTTTGAGCACAGTCTTGTAATTAGAATACGTATTTTTAAGGAGTCTGTATCTAAGCGTTTGATGCATTCCAAAGAGAATTATGATGACATATGATGGATTTGCTGAATACAAAAGCAATCCTGTGTATTTCAAATAAGACTTTACTCAGTGCTCTATTGAATTATTCATTAGCAATCTAACACAACTCTGTCAAAGCTAAAGTTACTGCAAAAAATACATTATCAAGTAACTCCTATGTTCTAGACACTAGAAATACAGTTCTGGTGAATACACAAACCTATTGATTCTGGCCATTAATTTATTATGGATATTTATGGTTTTAGAACTCCATACATCGTTAAACAACACAAAAGAGAGCTTGATTTTTCTGGCAGGTACAGTTTCGGAAGAGATTCTCCAACCAGTATAATCAGAGGTTTAATATGAGGTTCTTTTCTGAGGGTACCAGCACCTATCCACATATATGTCTGAGTGAGACACATTGCTTTTCAACAGTTCTTGCAAGTTACAAGCCATCTGCAGTATTGTCCTCAGGTCCTCTGTCCTGGTGACTGCACACAACACAAGCAAATACATGCTAAGTTCTTGCTGCCCAGCTCTGGCCTGTTAGAGAATGGAATAACCTGATCATATATTCTAGAGATGGTCTGAAATCCTCTAAGAAAGAAGTTGGAAATGACTCACCATTCTGTGCATTGCCACTTTCTCCAGAAACAGCTTGAAGTAAACAGAACACCGTAGCAAAAGCTCTACCCAGAACCATCATTCTGAGAGAGAGAAGAAGCACTCTTTTGTGTGTGTGTGTGTGTGTGTGTGTGTGTGCGTGCACACAAATGAATGAGAGAAGGGGAGACTAAACCCAGCTCTCTGTCTACTTAACCACAGACAGGGAACTATGAACACATCACAGAAGAAGGCAAGTGCCAGAAACAGGAAGTCAGAGAAAAAGGATTGCTGCTGTAAGCAGAGAGAGAGGTAGAGGAAACAGAGAGGTAGAATGTGATATTCTTTTTGTATCAGCACCCAAACTTAACTGCTTACTGTTGAGCAAGGTGCTAGGTTTGAAGTGATGGTTCAAGTGATCTCAGTGCCCACTTTAGAAGGATCACAAGGCAAAATTCCAAACTTACAACATTCATCAGTTGGTTGTTTGAGGAGACTTTGCTTTTAGAAACAGGATCCTAGGATATAGCTGTCCCACTTATGGCTGAACCCTTAGTGGTAACTTAATTCTTGGCTCTCTGAGCAGTTGGAAGTCTCCATTAACTGCCACGCAGTGAGAAAAACACTTCTCTTATGAGGGGCAAGGCTGTACTTGATGTAAAGACAAATACTTAGAAGACAGCTTGATACTTTTTCTTTTTCACAGCATGATACTAGTATGCTTTACCCTATGGTGTATGACCTCTGGAGGATGGGTTCATGGCCAACTTTATAGTACCAGCCATGAGTCACTCCTCTCAAAGGCTTAGTGAACATCATGGGAGAGAGGAGGGAAGATTGGAAGAGTCAGGAGCCAGAGAGAGGTACTGTGAAATCATCTATTCTAGAAATGATAGGACCTTTGCCCTCATAATTTCATAGTAGCTGTGGTTGCCTACTCAGGAGTGGGGCAAAAACAAGCCAGTCAACATTCCCACACGGATAGAGTAGGGACTTATGAGGTCCCATCCCTAGCTGAGGAGCTCCTGGCAACTTGATAAATACTGGGGAAGCAAGAGTCTGTTTTATTTAAAAGGGTGTCCCATGGTAGGTTGTCCCAGCTCTAGTGGATAGCACTATACTCATGAACACAAGAGCAGGACTAATTGGGCTATGCGGGTTATTAAGGAAATAGAGGACATGAAGTTGTAAAGAGAGTAGGGGCTCCCTTGGTGAAGTAGAGGAGAATGGAGGGCAGTTATGGTTTAAATACATTGTGTGCATATAAGCAATTTCCAAAAGGAAAAACATTTACAAAGTGAATATTTCATACTTCATAAATTACTGAATGTTCATTTAAAATATTTTACTCTCAGTCTTTTGGTATATAAAAGCAGCAGGGTTTCCACTGTGTGCTCTACATATCTCTAGTACATACCTGTATTTAACTACTCAGTGCAGGTATGCAGGGTTTATTAAGTGCAAGTGTTGGCAAACTATGACCCAGGGACAAAATCTGATCCTTTACCTTCTTTTGTAATTCGTTATTGGAATTCAGTGTTACTCAATTTTTCTTATGTTGTCTACGGCTGCTTTCATCCAACCAACAATAGTACAGGCGAGTAGGCAAAGAGGGAATCTTGTGATGCACAAACAGTAAAACTTTCACCATGTGACTTCAGAAAACGTCTTCTGATTTCTAAACCACTGCATAATTTCTCACAATGTTTCAAACAGAGTGTTATCACACTGGTTATCAACTTCTCAGGAACATAGGCTCTGTATGAACTTTATTGGCTCCAAGGCATGTAGAACAGGAGTCTGAGCAGTCAGAATTCAGACTGTGCCTAAAGTTGTATGTCAAGCCAATGTGTTTTCAATATGGCCTGGAGATAAAGTTGTGGTATTTGCTAAGAATGGCTGACATTTTGGTAAGAGCTGATTTTTTTTTAAGTTTATTACCAGGATAAGAGTCCTGCCATAACTGCATGGACAACACCCTTCCAGGTCTTTGAAGGAATCAGGAAACCTGGATTCAGACCACAGAGCACAGCTGTTTTTTGTCTTTTTTTTTCATGGTACCTCTCTTTGGGAAGGAGCAGGAAGACTGATCATAATGGAAGGAATTTAGAATATCTGAGTGGGTAGGAAGTTACAGACTTATGTTATATTGCCATCATTCCATGGGCCTATAAAATGGCTAAATTATGCATAGATAAACAATGTATCTCAGAGTCTGAATACTGTTAGTCCTTGGAAGCTGAATGACTTAGCTTCTCTTGTCATGACTTATTGAGATGACATAATGCGGTAAGAAAGAGGGGATGGGTTATTTGTACTTTCTCTGAAAACTCCTCCTTATGTTTCAGGGGATCTCAGAGACAGATGTGATTTATACCCGTTATAATGTCATGTTCTTCAGTACACACTATAGAGAAGTTTTAGGGAAATAATTCAATTAAGGTGATATATTTTATCCCTGCTATGTGTCTGGACCTCTTTTTGAATTTTCAAAAATTCTCCCAACTGAAATAAGAGATGATTTGGGGAATCAGGACACCATTTATGCTCTTGTTTCTAATCTTGTTTTGAAAGCTTCATTAGAAAAACATTTTATTCATAAAGTCAGTGTGTTTTGTACATTAAGCTTAATATGCTTTCTAGATATATACCATGATATATTCTCAAAACTATGTAAAAATAGTTAAGGAGAAATACATGTATGTATCTTCATCAATCCAGATCTCATAAGCTTCTCACTGACTGTCACTCCATGGGTGAGCAATTGGGTCATGTCTCTTTAAATTCTCTTGTTTATCATTTAAGTGGACTATCATTTTGATTGTATCTCCTTCCTTTAGTCGTGAAGACGTAAAAGAACAAAGTTAAAACATAATATTTTGGTACAGCATGTGCTGGTTTGCTCAGAGGATTTCCTCTAGTGTGCTTACCCCCTTTGGGTGGGGCTGGAGATGGCTGAAAGGACATCAGACAGAAGTCTAAATAAAGTACGGGGAGCTTAAAGAAAAGTGAGAAACATCACTAATCCTTCTAGAGATTGTGGGTGAGCAATGGCAATTCTGTTTTCTTTTCGGGGATCCTTTGATGCCATCAAAAGGCAAACTTCCCCTTTTTAGTAATCTGTCCTCGTGTCCTCCACATGACAAGCATTTATTGCATTGCTTTGTCAGTGCTGTTTGCAAGGAAAACACTGACAGAAAGAAGAAAGGAGAATGAGGAAGACCTCTCTTGATATCTGAGAAGTCAGGACCCAAGTCCGAATTCTTGTGTGTGGTAGTTTTCTCAAACTCCCCTCTTCAGTCATCACTCCCTTTCTTCCTCCTCTTTTATATGTCATTGGTCTTGTGAGTTTTTACAATGTGGTGAGTCACTACAAAGGGGAAGCCTATTTTATCATATCTCATGAGCAGGCAGAGTCTAAGAATCCCATAGAACTTCTAGTACCACTTTTTCAAGCGTCCAGAATCTTCTCTGCTTCTGTAAGGTGGTTCAGGGTGTCTATGAAACAGGCAAAGCATATAGGAAAGGTTCTTGTTTTTTTCTGTCGTAAATTCTGTCCTCATATACCACACTGAGGTTTCAGCCAACTGATCTTTCAGTGAGATTCCAGATGACAACCTGCTGGAGATGGATGGAGGGTTGTGTGAATTTCTCATGTTGAGTACTCCTCGTTTGTCGATCCAGAGTCCACCCTGGGAGACACACGTTACTCATTCCTTCCACTTAGAGAGCTAAAATATCTGCTGTAAGTAGCTCAGGCTGAGCATATTGTAACAATGAATTACTATTGCTTTTAGTCAGTATACAAAAGATTGGGTTTCATGATGACATTTTTGTAAGTGTGTACCATTTTATGTTGTTATTACCATGTCCTCTCCCTTCTCACAATAGTTTTCCTTCTTCATGACGTTCATTAATACATATAATATATATGAATTAGATATGTATATATAAGTTCTGCAGAAGAGAGAAAACATGAGACATTGTTTTTCAGCTTGTTTGTTTATTTATTTGCTTTTACATCTCAAGCAAAGTTTCCACTCCCTCCTTTCCTTCCACCCCCTATTCACTTCTCCTCCTCTGTTTCTCTTCAGATACAGGCAGGCCTCCCATGGATATCAGCCAGTCATCATGTATCAAGTTGCAGTAAGACTAGGCTCCCCCTCTTCTATTTAGGCTGGATGAGGCAATCCAGTAGGAGGCATAGGTCCCAAAGCAGGCAGCAGAGTCAGAGACAGCCCCTGCTCTCACTGTTAGGATTCTCACAAGAAGACTGAGTTAGACAATTGCAACATATATGCAGAGGGCCAAGAGAGGCTCCACGCAAGCTCCCTGCTTGTAGGTTTAGTCTCTGTGAGTCCTTATGAGCTCAGGTTAGTTGCTTCTGTGTGTTTTCTTGTGGTGTCCATGACCCCACTTATTTCTACTATTCTTCTTCCCCCTCTTCCACAGGATTCCCTGAGCTCTGCCTAATGTTTGATTGTCAGTCTCTGGATCTGTTTACATCGGTTTCTGGGTAAAGTCTTTTTGATGATAGTTTCACTAGACACCAGAATATCATTAGAAATTATTTCATTGACTTTTTTATTCCCAGTCATGTTTGGTTCTATCATAGGTCTCTGGGGGTATCTTGGCCTTCAGGGGTGAGCTCCCTCTCAGGGTATGAGTCTCCAGCTGGGCCACTCACTAGTTGATCACTCCCACGATTTCTATGCCATCTTGGATACCAACTCAGCCACAAATCCTCGACCTACAACTTTTCCTGCCTACACGAGGTGCAACTTTTTCATCTTTTAAATCATAATAGTATTATATTTTCTTCCTCCTCCTGCCATTATTTCCATTCCTTTACCCATAGTCTTTCCTCTATTTACAAAAATTAACACATACACACACACACACACATGCACACATGCACACACATGCACTTAAGATCCCATAAATGAGAGAAATTAGGCTTAAGTCTGGCTTACTTTATTGAGTCTCATTTGAAACGTCATTCATCTTCCTCCAAATGACAAAATCCAATTTTTCATTATGGCTGAAAGAGAGTCCTTATCCATCTATCTGCTATGAAAAAATACTTCTCTGAAAATGTTTACTTGAAGGCTATAAAGTAGTCCTTATACACTTAGTAAGATTCCCAGAATCAGGACAATTCAAAAGCCGCCCTCGTTAGCTTGTGTATTGAAGGACAGCAGAGTGAAAGGACAGCTACAATAATAGCTGGG